CTAAGGGCCCCTAAAAGAGTAGTTGCAAGGGTTCTTAACGTGCAAACAACGTGGCACTCTCTTTGCACGAGGCATCGAATTTAACGTCCCCATTCTGACCGGACGTGACTGCGAACTTGTACATCCCGCACAGCCAAACGGACGCCCCACTTTAGCGAAGGTTTTACTGCCGGTCGGAGGAAGACGCCACCTAAGGGCCCCTAAAAGAGTAGTTGCAAGGGTTCTTAACGTGCAAACAACGTGGCACTCTCTTTACACGAGGCATCGAATTTAACGTCCCCATTCTGACCGGACGTGACTGCGAACTTGTACATCCCGCACAGCCAAACGGACGCCCCACTTTAGCGAGGGTTTTACTGCCGGTCGGAGGAAGACCAATGGTGACTATATTTCTATTCCCCAGTCACCTTGGGGGGTTGAATTGACATATAAGGTAAAACCTAAAAGTATCTGTATTCAATAGCATCATATGTTTGGCCTTCATCAGTGTCCGATTTTTATATGGGAACAATAAAACGAAAATTACATGTTATAAATTTTGAGTGCTTTCAGTTGTCTTTAGACATGGTGGGTAGCTAGCAATTTATTATTCAAGTAAACAGTACCGATTCAATTTTTTTTATATTTTTTATACATAACTTATTAACTCACCCGTCGATAGAAAAAAAAAGGATATAATTTCCTGATTATCATTTATACATGTTCAACAGTATACTTTCTCAGTGTCATGTAGAGGAGAACAAGTAATAAATACCTACTAAAACACTTACCAGCTTTTTTGTACATGTAACATTTTTCTGTACTATAATACCATTTCCCTGTCACCTTAAATCGGGCGGGATAGACATTGCTGAGGGGTGACTCTCTTTTGTAGAAAAGAAAAGACTTCCCGTCTTGGATTGGATGTCGAACTGAAAAAAGAAACATATGTATTATTTATATAATTTAAAGCGTGCAAAAGGTAAAAATGAAAATTCATTTTATTTTCTTACGACTAAAAGATGTGGACTTAAAGTAAATACATCTTCTACTAAAGGCAATCATCAAATCAGTTACTGAAAAATAAAAAAATCTGATATAAACGACCAGGAACAATCTGTTGAATTTGCACAGATGTGTATTGCTGACATTATACTATCTTATAGACGAAGAAGTGGTGAGGCGGAGGGGATGGTGTTAGAAGATGATAAAAAGCCCTTTGGGAGGTGCAATAGATCATGTTATTATGAATACTCTTTCTGTATTTGACCGTAAGCTATGCCAATCTCATCTCGGGATAGAAATTAGAGGCAGGAAGATATCTGTTTTATTAACTAAGAATGTGGCTGAACATACTAGTATTAAATTATTGCTGAACAGCAGATAATGCAGGTGTGCATATTTTCTCGTCAATGCAATTCTGAGAACGCATACAGAGGCAATGACTGTTTAGGAATATTTGCCAAAGACAGTGAAACAGAAAACCACTACTTAAAACCCCAAATAGACAACAGAAACAACTAGCAACTTTGGCACATATTTTCAATAATTAAGGATATTTCACAGGATATACTACCAACATTTTAAGGTGTGATGCAAAGTTTCTCCGGGAATACTACAGACTGCAAAAAAGTGCAACCCAGGTTATCGAAAGTACTGCAATCCTTGAACAAAAATTATATCAGTAGGTATAAAGTGATGGACCTTGATGACATAAAACTGATTGAATTGAAAGAAATATATGCAACAAAACCATAACAGACCACATAAAGCCACAACGATTACCAAACTTGTACATCCCGCACAGCCAAACGGATGCCCCACTTTGGCAAGCAAAACGCTTACTGCCGGTCGGAAGAAGACCAAATGACCATACTTCTATTCCCCTTTTCGAAGTCGCTTTTTAACAAGTTCATTGTAAAGCAATATTATTTGTTCAATTTTATCTTATAGTTTTAAGACTCTAAGATGAAAACAAGAGGGTCAAGGAAAAAGCGGAAAGCCATTTCAAAAACTTCATCATTAGAAATAGCTACATCACGACAAGAGGGAAATCAGCCCTAAACAGTACCAGATTCAGTATCTAACCATACCTCAACTTCAGGAGGAGTATCAGTAATGGTCCCTGTATTTGATGTTACAAATCATGTAATACAATTAGGCAAATTCATTCAATGTTCATGCAAACACCTAGTTACTTGCCTAGTCTTGATGATGAATAACATTACATGTTAGTCAGAGTTTAAGACAAAATATTGGATTCGGAATACTGGATGTGGTATATGTTTCTTAAGGTTCGTCAATATCAAATGGTATCAACCATCAAGGTAAAAGACCGTTGTAGGTGCACAATTCTATATTGAGGAGAGAAGAAACCTACTACTGTGGTAAATACTCAATGAAAGTCGTGAAAATGGATTTGTCATTCTGGAATGTGTTGTAAGTTTGAACAGTTTTGTTTCTAAATTTTCAATTAAAATAAAATGTCAATGTCGGAGCACATGTGGTACATCATTTACACATCAATTTGTACTCCTTGATACTCCCTCCTGGATATTAATGCAAAACTTACGTGTATTCCTCCTGATTGGTGAGAGCAAACATTTTTATTTTATTTAATATCTTCCGTTTGGTTCTTAAAAAAATACACAAAACATGCAATAATGAAAATAATTTGTTACCATATATACATGTTTGTGAACACTCACATTATTTCAACTTGTTATATTTTTCAACACCTTTGGGAAGTACACCCAATCCCCCGACGACAGATGAACCAACTTCAACACCAATAACTCCAGAAACTTTTTCATCACCTTTGAGAACTACAAAACATCCACCTACAACAGATAAACCAACATCAACAAGAAATCCCACAAAAACAACGACAACAGGAACAATGGGCATATATATTGGTGTGCAGAGTATAGAATATTTATATTTAAACATAAGTACCGTGATTCATTAGTTATATTCCTTAGCTACTAGGACTGTTTCAAAATGGAGTGAAATAAATCTTCTTTCAGAAAAAAAAAACCTTTATACACACATGTAATTATGACAAATATAACTGAAAATTCTTTAAATACTGATTATATTTCAACAGGTCTTCTTCACACTCAAACTACAATTACATAATAATATATTGAAGCCTTTTGTAGGTACATGTATTACTTTTTTGTTTTTTTATTCATCCTTTCTGCAATTGGTATAAAATATACATTTAAGAAATAAGAGAGATGTATAGAAGGATTATAAATTCAATTTATAAACCTACAACAATGAAAAAAACACGTAATAAAAGGTAAAAAATAAAAAGAGAAATACTGAGGGATTCATAGTTGGACAATACATTTTCTTACAACAATAAAGTAATATTGACTATTGTATTTCAGGTTTGTCACTCATTCTCCAGTATTGTATCTCCACCAGCTGCAGAATCTTTATCTGTTCTTACCCCCAAGGGTGACTGGGGAATAGAAGTAAGGTCACCATTGGTCTTCCTCCGACCGGCAGTAAAACCCGTGCTAAAGTGGGGCGTCCGTTTGGCTGTGCGGGATGTACAAATTTGCAGCCACGTCCGGTCAGAATGGGGACGTTAAATCCGATGCCTCGTGTAAGGAGAGAGCCATTTTTGTGGAAGTGTATAGATGAACCTTAACTTTGCCGAGGGAGTTGAAACCTTAGTTTCTTTATAATTTCAAAATTTGTAAACGGACAATTTTAGAAAAGTTTGTTATAAATCATGTCAGTACTGACTACTGAGCTGATGATACCCTCGGGGACTGATAGTCCACCAGCAGTGGTATCGACCCAGTGATGTAAAAAATTGAAAACAACACGTTTAAGGTAGAGAAGGACACTGTAGGCCAAAAAAATCTAGCCAATGAACTTTCTTAAATTTCCCATATATTGTTCATTGGGGTGTACCTAACAAAATATCAAAATTTGAGAATAGGTTTCCAGGCTATTTTTAGAAATATTCTTTGAAAAAGTTACCTCCCTTTGCAGTCCTAAAAATGTCATTTTTTGGCCATTTTTAAGCTATAAAGGTACCTGCAAAAAAAGATATATATATTTTTTTTTACTTTTTCTCAGAACAATATGATAAATGAATATTTTGAAATATTTTAGACATAATATTTAAAAAAAAAAAAATATTTTTTTCAAAATGGCTACCCTTTTTTGTAATATGCCTGTTGCCGTCTTGTGTAAAATTTTGCTAAAAAAATATTTTAAAAGTAAAAAAAAAAAAAATTGTGTCAATGAATTTTTTTTTTAAATTGGTATATAAAATACTTTATATCCATGCTACAAGTCATAAAAAAATAAAGATATGTTTCCAGGGAAAATAAAAAGTTACGGGGGTAGAATGACACCCTGTCACACTCCCTTTTATGCATATTTCATGAAAAATATCAAAATTTTTCACTTATTTTTTTAACTCTCTTAACTAAAGGTGGGATTATTTCTTAAATGAGCATTGGTTTTGCAGCATCCATGTCTTTGCAATATTATTTTATCCTTTCAATTAACCTTAAAATAAAACGACATTTTTCCTGTACATTTTTCAATACAGACGTTCCTAAAAACAGTCCCGCTGCAAATGTTTACACCTGTCCTAAGTCAGGAATCTGATGTACAGTAGTTGTCGTCTGTTTATGTAGTTCATACATGTTTCTCATTTCTCGTTTTTATATAGATTAGACCGTTGGTTTTCCCGTTTGAATGGTTTTACACTAGTAATTTTTGGGGCCCTTTATAGCTTGCTGTTCGGTGTGAGCCAATGCTCCGTGTTGAAGGCCGTACCTTGACCTATAATGGTTTACTTTTATAAATTGTAACTTGGATGGAGAGTTGTCTCATTGGCACTCATACCACATCTTCCTATATCTACATAGACTGAATAGTGTGATGTTTGATCTGAATGATTGTTGTGAAAGTCTTGGAAGTGTAAAAATCAACATACTCATTAATCACTGTTCATGATTATAATGATGCAGCAAAAAAGAATATATATATATATGTAAAATAAATTTTATTTTTACATCATTTTTTTTTATGTAATTACCATCCACATTCATAAATGTAAACAAAACTCAAGAGCAGACATTTTACAGACACCAATTGATTTTTATCTAGATGGACCATGTCTCAATGATATAAAACAAACCACTGTAATTATCAAAACATTATGATAATATAACATCAATTTACAAAAAATATCCAGAATGAGAATGTGGATGACACTTGCAAAAGTGTATATTCTCAAAAACAAAAAAATAAATATGGGGCAGATTCAGTTTCCAAGGGACTCACTGAAACGTTTAATTTGTCCAATTTCATGAAAACTACAATCTCTGAAAATATATTTGCGAGTGACTTGGTCCAGTTTATACACCAATAAATTCCTTTAAAAAAGTGTTTAATCATATTATTCTTTAATTTTTTACCAAAAAAATTATTTTTCCACACTCGTAATCATCATCATACGTCAATACATGTAGTATATGTGTGTCATTGAATTGGCCAGGCGTATGAATTTATTTGTTGGTTAACGCAAAAATATGTACTCCGTGTAATTTGTTATCTGATAAAAAAATAAACTACAAAAAGTCTTATTTTCATTCAAATGAATTTTTTGTGTTTGTATTCAATTTAAAGATTAATGCAAAGTGAAAATAAATAGTTTTAACATTGAGTCGGATTGTGTTACTATCGCCTCATTGATTACAAAAAGAAGTTCGGTCAACATCGTCTATTGAAAAATAAACAATTTCAAGAACAACTACCCGAGGTCCTCTTGACCAATTATATCAAAGTATTCCCTAATATGCAAATCATATAAGAAGCATGATAATATAACATCAATTTACAATACATATCCAGGATGAGAATGTGGATTAAACTTGCAAAAGTATATATTCTCAAAAATAAAAAATAAATATGGGGCAGATTCAGTTTCCAAGGGACTCACTGAAACGTTTGTCCAATTTCATGAAAACTGCAATCTCTGAAAAATATTCCATTAAAAAAACTTTATATAAAGCAATAGTCTTGCCCTTAGATCAGATTGCTACAACAAATCTTAGAAAAATGTGGAAAAAGGGGTGGGGTAGGGATGGGCAAGATGGTAAAACTTTGGAACTGATACATTACTATATTGTTACTTTTATTCAACCTTATGAGTCCCCTCATTTCTGATTTATGGCCTAGCCTAATGCTTCTTATGTTGGTTCATGTAAATGAAGTGAAGTTATCTCCCCTTTATTAATATTCAGTTGACTTGTATTGTGAAATAAGCACCTACTTTTGTATAAAAGTTCATAAAAATCTGTTGAAAAATTTGTCAATCAAAATAAAAATCTGTAAGAGAAATAATCCTTCAGGCTTCAGAAAGTTATCCACCAATATTGACTAATTGGAAAATATTTATATGTCATGTGATACTTATTGTTGCGTATCTGTCGAGGCAAACTTGGGTTATTGTACAAAATAGGAAACTGTGACAGATGTACATACAGAGTAATTACTAAAGGATGCTGCAATTTTATAACAGATCCCTAATTCTTATATATTTGAAGTGTAAGTACTCTTTGGTTACTCAAATTTTAGTAAAAACTTCAATTTATTCATAATCAACTTTTAGCAAGGGTTGTTTCAAAGGGTTAGATTTTTAGATAGGCAGAACCAATTTTTCTACTGAATTATAGCATATAAATATCAAATTTTCAGTCTTTAACCACATATACAGTCTATTCCTCTTTTTCAGAAAAAAACTTCTTGAACACATTTGCCGTTTTCCCTTTCAAACCATGTTCCTGCATGATGGATTTTACGCCATCTTCATTGTTTCTTTTGTAAGCAAGCTCCAAGTGATGAAGGCTGAGACCTGTGCAGGAAAGTTTCCTTGCAGTGTCTTTTGAAATAACTTTTTTAACAATGACACTAGAAAAACCCTCTACAATTGACAAATAATTAAACGGAAATAAATCCTTTGCAGAACATGTCTGTTTCAGTTTAAGATGGAACAGTTTGTATAAACTTCTTACATCCTCCTCAGAATTATGAGCATCATAAACAATCTCCAGAAACTTTTGAACTAATGTTTGTTGCTTATAATTTTGAACATCAGCTTTTGGTATTTCACGTTTTGCAATTTTCAAAGTGTCAATGCATCCATAAATAAGGTTATCAAAAGAACTCAGCAGATTAAACTCTTGTAACAAATTTCTTAGTACAGGTACATCATATGAATGGATGTTATGACCAACAAGCACAGGACGAGATTTTTTCTGTATCATTTCAATTAGTTGAAGTAAGGCTTTTCTTATACATATGCTTTCAACTGGAACACCATGGCAATACATTTGGTTTCTCTCAAAAGAGAAAGTAATGCCGGTAACATCACTGGCCTTTGATGAAATAGGTTGTCGTGGAGACACATAAAGATTTAGCATGTTGGTCCCATCATATGCTGATATTTGTGTTATATCAGAGGTTCTTGATAACCCAGTTGTTTCTAAATCAAACACGACATATTCGTCTATGCCTTCCAAAGAATATTTAGTTGGAATCTTTTCAATGTCTCGTACCGTCACATTTTCTTCAATTTGTGGTTGATATGTTTCTCCTTCTATAACTGCTGCTTTAATTTGTTGAAAAGTTTTCTTATGCTAAAAAAGACAAAAAGAAAATATTCAGAAAAATCTTTTGTTTATACCTTAATAATTTGATTTTGGATGTAACGCGTCTTCTGATTGGCTGACGTTGTTTTGTTTATCAGCTCATAGACATAATTTTGTCATGTGACCGTGACGTCATCAACGTTTTTTCATGATTTACTCCGGTTTAAAATGGAATTTAGAACTAAATTATAAGAAATGACTGTAATATTTTTTCTGTCTATTCGAAATAACATAAAAAATGTGGTGCACACTTTAAAATAACCCGCTACACGGGTTATTCAGTGTGCACCACATTTTTGATGTTATTTCTTCATAGACAGAAAAAATATTACAGTCCTTCCTTAATTGTGTTGTTACATGTACATTGTAAAATAAAGGGAATATAACTCTTTATAACCATATTTTTCTTTTGAAATGTCATCATCTTGTTTTCTCTCTATTTTTGGCCAAATTGCAATTCATATTGTCTTCGGCAATTTATATTATAGTTTACCAATTTAACAATTTAACATAATTCATGTAAGTTTCACCATGTCCCTGTGCTTATTAATATGTTGGTCTTCTAGTCCAGTCAAACTAATTGCAACAGAAAATGTTTAAGTTCTAATCTATAGCATTAAGCCCTAAATATACACAGAAAAATCTAACTTGAGGAAAACTCAAAATCAGCATTTTTTAAAATTTCCTATGGAAATTAGCATTGGAAGGGGAGATAACTCCGCAAAAATGAGTCTTCTTTTGTCAGTTTTTGGTTGATTTTTATTAAAATTTATGTAAAGGATGATACTTAGATGGGGTTATAAGTTTATATTTGACTATATTATATAATCTTCTGCTCATGAAATGTACAAAACCGAAGTGTTATGGGTATTTTTATTTTTTTTGGTGCATTTTTCATTAAAGAAATTGCAAATTTGTTGCTTTGTGACCATTTTGAAAAAAAAATGTGAAAATTTGGTATTGTTTATATCTGTATATTATATTTGTTCAGCATCTACCTTGTTTAAAGAAAATTTTATCAACAAAAAGAAGAATGTATGCTTAATTATTTTTATCAAATTTGACATTCTTTACCTTGACATGTTGAAAAATTCAATAAATGGTCAACTAATGAATTATGAAATCTAGATTGTAGCTTGATAAAAGATATGAAAACACCTTTAGAGTTGTTTGTTATACTCTAAAGACGGCTAAAATATCAAGAATCAATACATTTTGTTGAATAGAAGCGGTAAAGTTATAATTTTTTATCAATTTTCATTGATATTTCTGCCTTTTTTGCAGAGTTATCTCCCTTTTCAATGCAAATCTCCATAGGAATTTTAAATCGTGATTTTTTTAGTCTTCCTTTAGTAAGATTTTATGGGACTTTTTTCTGTGTATATTTTGGGTATAATGCTGAAGATTAAAACTTAAAAATCTTCAGTTGCAATTACTTTAAGGTTAGGGTCAAATTTATGCTAGATTGACTGGACTATTCTGTATTTTTAAAGTTGTGGTGTAATTATTCTTGAGATAACTTCTCTTATATATGCCACATCATGCTTTCAATTGTAAGACAGTTGATACACTAAAATCTAAATAAGACACACACCACCTATTCTTGGCCCTCGTTCCTATCCACATTGAAATTTTCACTTCAAAACATTTCATGGAAGCGAGATCAATAGACCTGTATTTATACAGCAGAGGGTACTGCACTGGTTAATAGAATTTTGGATACACCTAACAAGGCACTTCATATCTGAGAAACAGGCTAAATATGCCTCCAATTTTAGAATTCAATCATATACTTCTGTATTATTAAAAATTATCACTAAATTGCAGTGAGGTGAGACTTATATATTTCTTCCTGTTGAGGCTTTAATGTGACTTTGAGATGAAGAACCTCAATAAAAGAGCTGTTCCTTTTCTTTTTGTGTGTTTTTTGTTGTACATGTACTGGATACCCCATATCCTTTGTTTTTTCTGTTATATGGCTGTCACTAAATTGACAAATTATATGCCATGAAGTTTTACCTTTCTTTTAAATCTGTCACGTTTGAAATGAACTGAGGAGCTATTCTTCTTTTGCCAGAGTCTCTTTCTGTCAAACCTCTGTCCAACTCTAACAGAAATTGTGCCTGGTGACAGCAATGCTTTCTTGTTAACCTAAAACAAGGTAAACTAGTGAGAAATGTTTTAGATGACAAAAATCATAAACCTTCCCTTTAAATTCTATATTCGACCTTTGGATAAGGTCACATGAAGGTCAACCACACACTGCTTTATATTCAAACAATTAAAAACCAAATTAACATCATTTATGGTGTGGACAAGTATTGCTGAGAAAAAGTTGATTAAAAAAACACAATTAAGTCCAATTTGAACTTGATCACCTTTGTAAGGTCATTCACCTTTGTATATAATTTGACAACAAGAGGCTGTCAGAGTGACAGCAAACCGGATTTTCCTGCAGAGGTCGAACCCTGAACAGTTGAGCAAGTATGGACACTACATTTAAGCTTAAAACAGCTCTGAATTTGGATTGTGATTGAATATTTGACACAGCATAGGTTTGTGACACAAAATGAATGTGGTTTAAGAACTGAAATACTTGAAATTGGACATTTAAATACCTATTATGGTCCAATAGCAAAAATCTAAGTACATATTAGAATCAGCATATCAAAGAACCCCAAGAATTCAATTTTTGATGAAATCAGACAAAAGTTTAATTTAAGACCCTTTGGACCTCAATGTGGACCAACTTGATAAAGGAGCCCACAATCCAAAATCTCTCAATACATGTTAGATTCAGCATTTCAAAGAACCCCATAAATATTTTTTTTGTTGAATCAAACAAAGTTTAATTTTGGACCCTGATTTGGACCAACTTGAAAACTGGGCCCAAAAATCTAATATTTCAATACAGGTTTAGATTCAGCATTTGAAAGTACCCTATATATATTTAATTTATGTTGAAATGAAACACAGGTTAATTTTATCCATAATATTTTCTGTGCAAAGGGAAATAACTCAAACTGGATAAATAGTTCTCTAAAATAAGATATGATGCAATTTTTCAAATTATAACCAATAATATGATAACAACAACCAGTGATGACTAAGTTCTCTAAAATTAGATATCATTTATCACTCAAACATTGCTAGAATCAGCATATCAAAGAACCAAAGAATTCAATTTTTGATGAAATTAATCAAAAGTGTAATTTAGGACCCTTTGGAACTCAATGTGGTATTATCTTATTAATAATGAAAAGAAATACAGGTTTAGATTAAGCATTTCAAAGAACCCTATATATATTCAATTTATGTTGAAATCAAACACAGTTTAATTTTGGACCCCAATTTGGACCAACTTGAAAACTAGGCCCAAAATCAGAAATCTAAATATATGTTTATTAATAGACAATATAAGCTTAGTTTTTAAAGGAGTTTACTCCATCAAAAAAAAAATATATATAGCATTCAGAAAATTAGTTTTTCCAGAATAACAAACAAACTTGCCACAAAATTCTACAAACAATTTACCAAAGAAAAGAAGAAAAAAATCCAAAATTTTATTTATCATTAATACAATTTCATTTCAAAATCTATAAAACTTATCAGTAACAAGAAATAATTGTAACAGAATGCTGTTACTAAGTCTCCCAAACAAAGCTCCAATAATTCGTCATTCCCATTGTCCCTTGACATTGGGCAATGTCCAGTACAAATTGGTTTATGATATGCATTAGTGACGCCTATGGATTGACCCTGTATGTCATTCAAATCTTCTTTATTTTTTATGGTTTAGGGGTGGAGATCCCGACCGTTTACAAGTTCATATATGGTTTAGGGGTAGGGATCTTGACCATTTACAAGTTCTTAAACAGGAGGGGGTGGGGTGACCCCAGGGGACTCGCCTTATATTTCATTTGATTTGTTTTATTGTCCCATTCAAGAATATATATGGTTTAGGGGTGGGGATCTCGACGGTTTACAAGTTCTTAAACAGGATGGGGTGGGGTGACCCCAGGGGACTCACCTTTTATTTCATTAGATTTGTTTTATTGTCCCATTCAAGAATATATATGGTTTAGGGGTGGGGATCTCGACTGTTTACAAGTTATCAAAAAGAAGGGGGGTGGGGGTGACCCCCATGGACTTCCCCTATATATCATTTGATTTGTTTTATTGTCCAATTCTAGAATATATATGGTTTAGGGGTAGGGATCTTGACCATTTACAAGTTCTTAAACAGGAGTGGATGGGGGTGACCCCAGGGGACTCGCCTTATACTTCAATTGATTTGTTTTATTGTCCCATTCAAGAATATATATGGTTTCGGGGTGGGGATCTTGACCGTTTACAAGTTTTCAAAAAGAAGGGGGTGGGGGTTTCCGCATTGGGATCTTGACCGTTTACAAGTTTTCAAAAAGAAAGGGGGTGAGGGTTACCCCAGGGGATTTCATCTCAATTTCATTTGATTTGTTTTATTGTCCCATTCAAGAATATATATGGTTTAGGGGTGGGGATCTCGACTATTTACAAGTTATCAAAAAGAAGGGGGGTGGGGGTGACCCCCCATGGACTTCCTCTATATATCATTTGATTTGTTTTATTTTCCCATTCAAGAATATATATGGTTTAGGGGTGGGGATCTCGACGGTTTACAAGTTCTTAAACAGGATGGGGTGGGGTGACCCCAGGGGACTCGCCTTTTATTTCATTTGATTTGTTTTATTGTCCCATACAAGAATATATATGGTTTAGGGGTGGGGATATCAACCGTTTACAAGATAAAAGCACATTCTCAAATTGAAGGGGGGTGGGGGTAAGAATATATATGGTTCAGGGATACTTAATTATCTACAAAATGTCTAATAATGAACAGTAAATTTCAAATTTCATTTATACAGTCCTACTAGTAAATTTTAAACTTTATATATACAGTCCTACAGATCTTATCAGGAAACAGAAAATTTTCAAATAAATCTGTCACTCCAATGATATTATATGTTAAGATATAACCCAGATCTAATTAATAATTAATAATGTAATTAACCTCAAAATGTCTAATAATATAGCTTATCATCATTACCACTTAGGAAATAGATAATTTTCGAATAAATCTGTCACTCCAATTTTTATTGTGAGATAAGACATTATGCTTAGTCATAAAAAAGATAACAAGAGTAAAATATTTGAAAATTCCACTTTTGGATTTTAAAAATGGCTAAAACACAAAGGAGATATACTTATATCTTGAAAACTGAACTAGACCTTCATTAAGTCCCAGGAAACAACATATTTAAATTTGAAAAAAATTTGTTAAAGCGTTTTCATGTTATTGTGCTGACACTGTTTGGCAGCCGCCCGTAGGACCGCCCAGCCGCCCGCCGTACATCACCATTTTAATAACCAATATTTCCTTCCAAAATCAGGTTAAAAATCACTGTGTCAGTTTTCAAATTATTGTTTAGAAACCTAAAATGACAGGTCACAAACATTATACTATGTTTATGTTACATGGGGTAAAATAAAACAGGAAATACACAGTATTTATAATATATAAGCTGTAACACAATACCTTGTTAACCCAGGTATAACCTTCATTCTTCTGAAGAACTGCAGCTGAAACTCTTGCTTTTAATGAGCTGGTTCCACCATATGATCTACAAAAAGAAATTTCACAGTTAATATTGTAAAGCAGCTGTCAGAAGATTAAACTAGCTAAAATTATTATAAAACTGTTTCAGGGGGAATAACTGTTCAAACATTTTTGAATTGTTCACTTTTGTTTCATAAGATCTCATATTAGTTTTTAAAATTTTGAAATTATATCTATAAAAGTTTTGGAGTTGAATCACAAAACCTTTGCCACCTGTCGTCTCCTAGGCCTGCCCCCCTCATATCAAAAATTTAATTTTATAAAGTGAAACTTAAATTCATGTTAAACTGTTTGCACTGTTGGTTATTTTTTGTTTATACAGTGATATCAAAATGAAGGATTGTTTTTTAAGAATATGCTAATGATCATAGTTTAAAAAAGAATTCTGCCAAGTCAGTTTTCAGAGAAAAAAATTCTGAAATAGTCAATTTTCTAATGACAGATAAACAGCAATCATCTCCCTTTGAAATTGAAAGAATTCTATTTTGTATTGCTATGTTTATATTCATTTTCTTTGTGTTTGATGTTGGAATCATTTTGGGATGTTACTGAAAGGTTATAATCAATGTTTTTAGTTACTGACCTATTTTTTGGAGCCTTGCTTGCAACTATATTGTTGAAGTTTTCATTGCTCTGTGTTGAGCCTAAATCTACAAGATGGCTTGATCTTTTCTTGTAATTTTCTGTCACTGTCTCTAACTGCTTACGCAGGTTCTCATTTGTCAATGGTTCACCTTTTGGGAGATGTTTATATCTGAAATGATATCAAAGAAAATAGTTGAAATGTCATACATTATATGAATGTTGATTTATGGGAATGTTTCAAATTGATCTATACTGTACAATTTTATTTACCTGTCCATTTAGTTAAATAGCTTGCTTGAATATTCCTAAAGAGGCTGAACTGTGTTATTCATTATGTATTGTAATGCGTTTTTTTTTATAACAAGGATTTTGATTGGACAACATCACATATCTTCAGGGGGTAAAACTGATGATGTACCTGTTGGATGAAATTTTTTGCGCTGTGCCAGATGACATTTCCAAAATATAAAAACAACAAGAATGTGTCCCAAGTACATGGATGCCCCATCCGCACTATCATTTTCTATGTTCAGTGGACCGTGAAAATGGGACAAAATCTCTAATTTGGCATTAAAATTAGAAGGATCATATCATAGGGAACATGTGTACTAAGTTTCAAGTTGATTGGACTTCAACTTCATCAAAAACTACCTCAACCAAAAACTTTAACCTGAAGCGGGACAGCCGAACGGACGGACGAACGAACCGACATATGGACGAACGGACGCACAGACAGACCAGAAAACATAATGCCCATAAATGGGGCATAAAAATTTATTGAGAAAATAAGACTTGTGCATAACAATAACTGTGTTGTATTTGAATATTTGCTGATGGTTTTATCTTACATTTTTTAGTCACCCGAAAACTCATTTGGTGATAGTAACAGCACAGATGGAATAGTCCATTGGCAAGTATTCAAATACAACACAATTATTGTTCAATTCCAGGAAAAAATGTTCTTCAATTAACCATTACAAGTCTTTTTATTGTCTGTAAATTATTTTGGTACTAATGATCCTATAATTGTATTTACCTGGAGAAAAACCTTTTGTTTTTGTTTGTTTTATAGAATGAGAGGATGTACTTGTTTTATTGTATATTGTTTTTTTTCTGCATTTATATGACAAAACTGGTTGTCAGCATTTAAAATAGCAATAACAGCTCCCAAACTTAACTTTTGTTCTGGCATATATCACTCATAATAAAAATATAAAAAAAACGTTCATATATATGTATAACATCCTTCAAATTTAAAAAAATTCAAACCTGTATGTTGATGGTTGCTTGGAATATGTGCACCAATCCCCAGAACAGCCTGAATGGTCTCCAAAGAGGTGTGGAACTATACTGTCTAATCTTTCACAAAGTTCATCCTCCTTTGACTGTTTTGAACTTATAGCATACATATAGCATCTAAGTATGTAAGGAATAACTCCTTTCCCCTTCAGCTCTCTGTACTTATTTGCTGCTGCATACAGTTGTTTCGACAGATTTTTCTTGACATGGTTCTTGTCGTCTCTTTTTTTAATTTTTTCAAATTTTTGCTTCAGCCTTGATGTTGTTGTAGAGTCATTATCTGCGTGAATAATGCCAACTGTGCACCCTCTGTCGTCCATCCTTGTAACCATGGATAAAGCCATGTCAGGCTCCATGCCTTTACTTGACCCTGTAACAAAAAAGGACATTGTAATTAATACAATTAATTACGTGAGAACTGTTTTGGATGACTGAAACATATTTCATCTCCCTTCTTATAACTAACACAAGAGTGGACACACTGAAATGTCTCGCCTTCTTTACTAATCATTGATATTATGTTGATAGTCCTAAATATAAAGCTTTATTACAACTGTCACATAAACTTAACATTAACCAAGTAAACTAAACATTGACCAATGAACCATGAAAATGAGGTCAAGGTCAGATGAACCATGCTAGGCAGGCATGTACAGCTAACAGTTCTTCCATACAACAAATATAGTTGACCTATTGCTTATAGTTTAAGAAAAACAGACCAAAACACAAAAACTTAACACTGAGCAATGAACCTTGAAAATGAGGTCAAGGTCAAATAAAACCTGCGTGACTGCCAAATAGATTATAAAATATTTCCATACACCAAATATAGTTGAACTATTGCATATAGTATTAGAAAAAAAGACCAAAACTAAAAAAACTTAACTTTGACCACTGACCATGAAAATGAGGTCAAGGTCAGATGACACCTGCCCGCTAGACATGTACACCTTACAATCATTCCATACACCAAATATAGTAGACCTATGGCATACAGTATAAGAAAAACAGACCAAAACACAAAAACTTAACTAAAACCACTGAACCATGAAAATGAGGTCAAGGTCAGATGACACCTGCCAGTTGGACATGTACACCTTACAGTCCTTCCATACACCGAATATACTAGACCTATTGCTTATAGTATCTGAGATATGGACTTGACCACCAAAACTTAACCTTGTTCATTGATCCATGAAATGAGGTCGAGGTCAAGTGAAAACTGTCTGACGGGCATGAGGACCTTGCAAGGTACGCACATACCAAATGTAGTTGAACTATTGCATATAGTATTAGATAAAAAGACCAAAACTCAAAAACATAACTTTGACCACTGAACCATGAAAATGAGGTCAAGGTCAGATGACACCTGCCCGCTAGACATGTACACCTTACAATCATTCCATACACCAAATATAGTAGACCTATGGCATACAGTATAAGAAAAACAGACCAAAACACAAAAATTTAAGTATAACCACTGAACCATGAAAATGAGGTCAAGGTCAGATGACACCTGCCAGTTGGACATGTACACCTTACAGTCCTTCCATACACCGAATATACTAGACCTATTGCTTATAGTATCTGAGCTATGGACTTGACCACCAAAACTTAACCTTGTTTACTGATCCATGAAATGAGGTCGAGGTCAAGTGAAAACTGGCTGACGGGCATGAGGATCTTGCAAGGTACGCACATACCAAATATAGTTATCCTATTACTTATAATAAGAGAGAATCTAACATTACAAAAAATCTTAACTTTTTTTTCAAGTAGTCAACCATGAAAATGAGGTCAAGGACATTGGACATGTGACTGACGGAAACTTCGTAACATAAGGCATCCATATACAAAGTATGAAGCATCCAGACCTTCCACCTTCTAAAATATAAAGCTTTTAAGAAGTTAGCTAACGCCACCGCCGCCGGATCACTATCCCTATGTCGAGCTTTCTGCGACAAAAGTCGCAGGCTCGACAAAAACTAAATTATTTGACATTGTAGTCTAAGAATAAGGTAATTTAAAGGTCATGGTGGTACACAACACACATACTTGATTTGTAAGTGCATAGCCATAAGGCGGTGTTATGACTATGCAATCATAAACCAAATATCATTGTCCTTTTTTCAAGGACCAAAACAAAAAGTTATGTTTTTGTAACTGTAATAATTAAAACTAGACTCATTGAGATGGAAGCCATCTCTGTGGGCCTCGCTGTGAATAATGTGTGGAAATTTGTTTGTATCTTTACCATTATGGTCATGTGATTGTCAACAGAACCAAAGTTTTTTTACCTTGACCTTTGACCTGGGAAGTTGTACATACATAAAGACACACCCTCTGGTGTTGGTTAATATACATGTTAAGTATAAACTTTGAAATCATAATGGTTCTGAAGATATAGAGCAGACACAATCTTCACCATAGGACATGGGTTGTCAACTGAAACCCAAGTATGAAATCATAATGATTTTCTAGATATAGAGGGGACACAACTTGTTACAGACGGACAGACTGGTCACTATAGGGCAACCTCCATTCGGAAAGATTGCTATAAAAAATTATTTGTTACAAATGTATGTGCTAGCTATAGTTACAACTTGTGATATTCTTATTGTTGTCTGGATAACTAATTTGCATAAACTAAAACAGATTGTGGATATGGTGACGTTTTCACAGAAGGCTGGATTTACCTTAAATCTTTGGATTTTGCTGGAAAAAAACGTTTTAAAAAAATTGTTGTTTGTGTACCTTGCCAATTACTGTTGCATTGATGATTTGGAATTGTTTCCTTTCTTCCCAAATGATGCTGGCATATACTGCAAAGTTTAGTTCTTATATCATAGTCTAGAATTTTCCCTGTCTTTACACCAACTAGACTGGAATGTCCTGAAATATACGAAGTCCGTGTCCTTTTTAGTCACATAAGAAAAGGTCAAAAACAGTTTCTGATAATTATATTCAAAATAGAAAAAAAAGGATAATGTTTGCAAATATAACTTAAAAGGTTTATCTATATGACACAGATGTAAATGTGAGTTTTGCTTAGCTTTTTTTGCTGTTTAGCCATAAGTTACAAATAAACCTAAAAATTCCAATGTCAGGTATCTGTTCCAATATCACAATCTACCTTATTACCAAATTTCATTGAAATAAAATAGTAGCTGAGAAATGGACCTTTAATTAGGCCATTAGTTTTCTTGTTTGAATTGTTTTACATTGTCCTTTCTGGGCCCTAAATAGCTGACAATGCGGTATGGACTTTACTCATTGTTGAAGGCTGTACAGTGACCTATAGTTGTTAATTTCTGTGTCATTTGGTCTCTTGTGGAGAGTTGTCTCATTGGCAATCATTATGAATCATACCACATCTTCTTTTTTATACTCAACACATTACTGTAGGGTAGAATGGCCTACTTTTTAGTGAACCCCAATGTGCAGTACTACTAGTTATTCATATGGTATATCTATTGATCAAATATCATTGGTCTACCATGTACAGTAGGTGAGATATGGACTTAAACATAAAAACTTAACTAAAATTGGGAGGAAAGGACAGATATACAGAGGGACAAGGGTAAACCTAAATGTACCTATGATTTTCATAGTTGGAACCTAAATAGTTATTTTGGACGAGTTTATTGATGTGTAAACCTGACAGAATTAAAGACTAACATGCATATTTTAATTTTTACATAAAGTCCTTCTGACTTGATTCAGTTTATATGCAATTCGGTAACCTAGTGAGCACACATCAATAAACTCCTCCACTTTTATTTCTATAATATTACTGATGTTGACATGATACCTGTGTTACTGTTATATTGCCAACCAGAGCCTCTTGTTTGCCAGCCAGCATCAAAACTGCATTCTAATTCATCACTTGGGGAAATAGCTTTTTCTTCTGCACTAGCAGTTTTACAGGAATCAGATGCCTCATCCATAAGTGACAATGCTATACATTTCTCCTTCTTTTTCAGTGTCTTGGGATCAGGTGGGGGTATGTTACATGTGCTGAGAAAATTCACAACATGATCAGGACCCATTCCAGAGTGCATCATTGCTGAAATCATTATGATTTACTATGATTATCAATTTTTACCACCTACATACTGCATATATATATATCTTTATCAATTAAATTAATTACAATTCAATAATAGAGCTCAGGTGACAATTGATAAAGCTACAACCTAGTGAGCTCACAAAATTCAATGTCAAAGTTCATTATGACATTTTTAATATTCAAGCAGAAATACATAGAAATTATAACTTCCTAGCTTACTTAAATCAATTTAAGGCCATCTTTAATAAATTATTGCTTTGCTGTTTACCAACTAGTGTGGGTATAAAGATAAGATTTTTTTTTCTTTTCTGAATGATGCTTAAAACCCTCTTAATTCAAAATAGTGTTATAAAAAAATAGAATAAAAATTTTCATCCCAGGAAATGAGAAAATCTTTTTCTTAGTTTACTTAGGCAAGTTTTAAATTAGAAAGAACAATATATACATCCCCTGCAGTGATTTGTAATAGCTACGCTGTAAGCCATAGACATATTAGCAATCCTTGGTGTAAGCAACACTGTAAATAATAAATTACACTACATAGTACACAAATTTGAACACCCCATACCCATGTCATGAGTTTGAAAGAAACTACTTTAAAAAACATTAAACGTGTCAGAATGATAAATAAAATAGAATTAATAATCTAACTTTCCTACTTTTTTTCTTACAATAAAGCTTTTTGCACATACCAAGAGCAACTTTTGAGTTGATATCAAATGCTCCTTTTTCATTCCGCTTGCCTGTAGATACCAGTTTCATACCAGAGCATATCTGACATACCACCTCCAAAAGACTTCCTAAGCCGTACCTGTAAGATAAAAATTTAATATACTGAAAGGTAGCTGATATCATTTTGTTTTATCGTGAGGCCAAACTTAAAATATATGTTGTTTCCCCTTTTTAGACCCAAATTTTATATAGTGGGTAAGTACTGGGTAGGTACATGTACAAAAATGTACCTGAAGGTTCATGTAGGAAAAATATCTTATTTAACATTTATGAAAGGAAATTTACAAAAATGTCATGAAATTTATATTTTTTATTATTTATCAAGAGACTTGAAAGAAAACAACTACATTTTGTATTTCTATTTAGAATGTCAAAACAAAACTTTTTGAGTAGGGACATTTTTCTTGTGTAGGTTGCATTATATAAGGGGAAGGGAAAAGAAACAAAATTCAATTTATATAAGATGTGGTATGATTTCCAATGAGACAACTCTCTAAACAAATCTCAACAAGAGACCAAATGACACAGAATTTAACAACTATCGGTGAGTCAGGGCCTACAAAAATGAGTAAAACCCATATCGCATAGTGAGCTAAAATGTATAATAGGCAAAGAAACAATCGCTGTCCTGTTAGTATTGATTTCCTACAAGGGTTTGGATTGAGAGAAAAATTGTAAAGATATCTGCCAGCAGGACATATTTGAAAGTGAATTGCAATCATATTCCTACAAACTTCACATGGTTTTGATAGTTTGTAAAAAATGAAGGGGTGCTAAAAATTATTGTTTACCTCATTTCACCTACTATATCCTTCAGATAGAGTGGGGTGTTGCATCTGTTGCAGAAGAGTTGTTCCGCTAGCACTTCCAACTCAACAACCCTCCTGCCTTCATTCCATAAGATGTTTTTACTGTGTCCGATATCAGTTGAAACAGTAACATTGGAGGCTATGTTCTCAACTGATACCGGTGTCTCTTGAATCATTGTCGGTTCTAATGGCAATTCTCCCCTCGTACCGTAATCATGGTCTCCCCATTGAGTAAATTTATCTCTCTCGTTCAAAGTGTTCATCCTTTTAGATTTTTTGAATCTGTCGTTCTTAATAAACCGACCGCGAACACGAAGGCGGTCGCAGTCGTCTGCCATTTTCTTTGTTTACCTTGTCTACCGATTGCGTAAAAAAAGAATCGGAACCGATTTTAATTACGCAAAATGCACGTGCTATAATAGGTCATGTGATACCCGTCCGTCTCTACCTTAATAATTTCATGCGTCCGAAGCGCTTTTCTGGATTTACCTTCATCAGGAACGCTCAAAGCCAAACATTTGAAATGACAGTTACATATGGAGTCACAAATATTTGTAACATGATTAAATGCAAAGCTTGAATGCGCATGCCTATCCCTTCACTTCAATTATCTAGCAACGACAATACTATTTACTTGAGGACTGGCAACGACAAAATCATTTACTTGGAACTAGCAACGTCAAAATAACCTACGTGACATTGCAGGGGTCTTACTATTAAATTTGGCCATTGCCAGAATCCTTCAACTCTTATACCTTAACTTTATTTGATCAAATGCAAATTCCGGGCGGCAACAGATAACACAAGGCAAAATGTAAAACCAAACGTTGAAATGATTTTTATTTGCATATAACTCAAACAATTAGACACACGACGGTACAAATATACTTCTGAACAATTACAACAATCAAAATTATGCTACACAAATATTTGCCATGCTTCACCGCGCAGGTAAACGAAATTAGTTTGTCGTTGTAAGTACTTAAGTAAATTATTTTGACGTTGCTAGTATGGAGGATTTTGTCTTGATTTGGGTCTCTCATGGAAGCAATGATTACATTGGATATACAAAAGCACTTTTGATTACAGATATTAAATACTTGCTACTCCAGTGAACATACAATACAATACAATACAATTTTTTTATTGTCAATCAAGGACGCCCTAGGAGAGCAGTATAATTACAAATAATTGATTACAATGATTATTATTAATTCTTAATGATATATAATGACTAAATATAGAATAGAGAAAAAATAAACACAAAAGAAAAAGCAAAACCCCAGATATGTATATATATTTAACATATAGAAATGTTGAGGCATATACTGTTTATGGATATCATTAGTGCCATAAAATTCAAATTTGGCCTACATGTATGAATGATTCACTGGGTCAGTTAACCGGCATCATTTACTTTTTTTAACATAATATTATCCCTCTCAGTCCAGAGACTGATTATTAAATTACATAGGCGTTTTAGAACTTCTAGATTCTCACAACCCATTAGCCATATAAACATATTTTCGGTGCTACATTTCTTTAGATTAGGATAAGAAATACAAAGTTCTTTTATAAATGTTTTTCTATAAGTTTCTAATTTTTTGCATTGAAGGAGAAAGTGGATCTCATCTTCCACCTCCTCCTCACAAAGTTTACAAATACGCTCAGGAGCTTGGATGTTTTTGTGTCTCCCTGTTTCAATTGCAAGCTGATGGTCCCCAATTCTGATTTTTGTTAATGCCTGCCTTTGTTTAAAGTTTAGCAGGTTTAAATAGGGTTCAAATTAAAATTTGTTTTGAATAAACGAAATGTACGAAGTTTATTTTTTTGGTTACTAATACTTCTTACATCATTAAAAATGTTAATCTTCCATTCTTTTATATACAATCCTTTAAGTTTTCCCATGACTATATTTTTAATACAATATTTACTCTTATGTAGTAAACTGTTGGGAGTGAGATCCAGAAGCTCCAAAACTTTAATAATATAACTATACCATGAAGTGTGACCTTTTTCATGTAGGCTTTAAGACAGTGCCAGTGCTTCTTTTAGTAAAATGTCTTCAGATTTTTCTAAAGTTATCAAATATTTAAGGATGCTTATTAAAATAGGCAATTGTATGGGTAAATGTCCCACTTCTGCCATGACAGCATTGTTTGTGCTCTTTCTGTTCACACCAAGTATATATTTACAACTTTTTACATTCAATTTTTCAAGTATAAAATCATTACATAGTTTATAAAAAGAAGATGAATCCTTGAGTTTTGAGGGACTGCCAGCACCCCATATTTCAGTAAAAGTAATATTGGCTGAATTGTGTGGTCAAATATATGAATGAAGGTTAAAATGTTTGGAAGTGAATCATTAAATGATTTTCTTAGTTTAAAAAAGACCTTTAACCCCTTTTTGTAAAGTTCAGATTTTGCCTCTGTAAATGCACATGTTGCTGAAAATACAACTCCCAAATATGAATGATTGAATGAATGATTTATTATAGTGCAACCTGCATATATACAATAGATACATATTAGTACAATATTACATTGCAGCCAGCCAGATAGGCTTACGATGCACTGACAAATTAAAACTCAAATTTTTTGAAAAAAATAGAGAACAAATAGTTTTGGACGAATGTCTAAGTTATAAGAAAATTCAACAGTTAAAGTAAAATAGTTAGAGAATTTCTCTTCGTATACGATCACAGTCCAAGATAAAGTTCGCTATACATTTGTTGTTGTTAGATAACAGTTCATTCAAGGCAGCATTTGGAGAAAGTTCATTTATGCGTAGAGGATAAGCAGGATCTGGTGATATTGCAGTATATAGTTTATTTCTTAAAACCGAGTAACGATCACAGTATAAGATGAAGTGTTGCTCATCTTCAATAGACCCAGAATTGCACATTTTTCATACTCGTTGTTCGATTGGAATGTTTCTATAGCGTCCTCGTTCGACTTCTAGAGGGAAAGTACCACAGCGAATTCTAGCGATTGCAGATCTTTGTGTCCTTGTTTAAGGCTTATGTACGTACGGCTCGGCACAAAATTCGGTTTTTTAATGTTTATATGTCCTCAAATTTGGCATATTGTTAATTTCGTTAAACCACTTGTCTTTAAAGTCTGCTACAAGTTTACTTTTCACAGAGTCTAAGATGAATCTTGTTGAGATATCGGAGTCGTTGTCAGTTAGGTGTGAAAGATTGCATTTGTCCAGAAGCGTTTTTACACTGTTAAACCACGTGTTTGGTAACGTCTCGACATTTCACGATCCCAAACAAATACTTTTCGGCAAATTCTGTGACCAGGCATGTTCATAAGACGACACCATAAGCGGATAACGTTACACTGGTTGTGAATAAAAACTGGATGCCATCCCATGTCTGCTAATATTGCTGGAATTGGTGTTGTTTTGCCGACGCCAAGAAAAGTTCTGATGCTCTATAATGTAAGCGTTCGATATTGTCATATTGCTTGGCTCCCCATACCCCGGGTGCATAATTAAGTACAGGAATAACAGTGTTTTCATAAATTTTCGTGAATATGTCGTAGTCCATATTTCCCATGTTAAAGAATTTAGATGTCAATGATCCCAATGATCTACTACCTGCACTTACGAGTTCATTGACAGAGACATTATAATCGATATGCTCGGATAATGTGAGACCCAAGTAGCGATATTTAGTTACAAGTTCAACTGTGTTGTCCCCTAGTCGAAATGTAAATTGAGGTCTGTCCTTTGTAGTCTTTCGAATATGCATATTTTTTGTCTTTTCTGTATTAACGTTCATTAATTGTGTCTTTGTCCAATCGTTCAGAGCATTAAGCTGATTTTGTAATCCATCAACAGTGTCCGAAATAAGGACTAATCGTCAGCATATAGCAAGCAGCTGATCATATCGTCACCGACTAATGCGCCACAACAGAGTCCGTTAATGAGTGGTACCAATTCATCAATAAACAACGCAAAAAGAATGGGCGCGAGGTTATCACCTTGACGGACACCGGAATCAACTGAAAACCATTCAGTAAACATCGTAGGCGATAATCGTACTGCACTTTGTAGCTTTGAGTAGAGACACCTAATTACTTTGTACATATTTCCATACACACCCACGGCTAAAAGTTTATTCCAGAGTATTGTATGATTCACTGAATCAAATGCCTTGCTGAAGTCAACAAAGCTCAAAAAAGTGTCTTTGTTCTGCAGTTTTCTGTTTCTCAATATTGTACACAGTGAATAGATATGGCCCAGACATGATCTAAGCCGCCTAAATCCGTTTTGTTCCTCACAGAGAAAGTTATTGTTTTCGAGATGACTGATGAGCCTTTCGTTCAAAATCTGACTAAATGTTTTTGCGACAGTTGACATCAGACTTATGCTTCGGTAATCCATCGGATTGCGGAAATCCTTGCCTTTTTTTAGCAGAGGACATATAATGCTTCGACACCAAGGATCTGGAACAATTCCATAGCTAAAACATACATTGAACAGTTCGTAAAGAGTTTTCGTCAGTATATCACTTTTCAGTATTTCATTAGGTAAATTGAAATTGTATATATTGCCCAAATATCTATAATGTTAAACATTTTCTAATGTGATATTATTGATTGTAAATTTTGAACCCAATAAGCGACCAGACGTGTTAAATATCACACATTTAGTTTTTTCATAGTTTATTTTCAGGTTCCACTGCAAGCAATAAGATGACAGCTTATTAAGAGAGGTCTGCAGTCCCTTTTCACTTGAAGATAACAATACCATATCATCAGCATACAGCAAACAACTCAATGGATTCTTATTTAATCATGCTGGGTCACTAGAGATATCAAAATCATTCTTTATTTCGTTAATAAATATTTTGAATAAATTTGGGCTTAAATGTCTCCCTGTCTTACCCCAACATCAGATTGAAAAAATTCAGTCAAATTATGACCTGATTTGACACATAGTTTAGTATTGGCATACATGTTTTTCAATATATGATAAAATTTATCACTTACGCCAATTTGTCTCAGGCTATAGAAAAGCCCCTGAAGCCAAACTGAATCAAAAGCTTTTTTAAAATCAATAAAGCATGCATACAAAGGTTTACTCCCTTTTTTGTATGTTTTTCAATAAGGGATCTTAGAACAAACATGTGATCCACAGTACGTTTTTTCTTTGTAAATCCTATTTGTTCGTGGGGAATAATATTGTTTTTTAAAAGAAATTTATCTAACCGTAAATTGAGGACTTTTGTGAATAATTTTCCAACACAGCTATTAATAACAATGCCTCTATAATTAGATGGATCATCTTTATCTCCATTTTATGAATAGGATAAATATACCCTTGACTCCACTGAGTTGGATACTCCCCTGATGAGAATATAGTATTAAATAGTTTATTAAGTGGTTTCACCAAAACCGACTGGCCACATTTAAGCATCTCATTTATTATTACATCAAAG